ACCAACATTGACGCATTGGCGTGGTGCCCGCTTCTGGTGTGCCTTTGGTGGACAGTGTTGCTGCAGCGCGCAAGCTTATTTGCTTCTTTCCGTGCAGACCCCTCCCTGGAGTGCCCCTCCACCTGCTTCCCCTCTGAACCCAGGCGCTCTATGCTTCTGTGACGAGCCTTGGACGGTCTGCCCTTCTTCGCTCACCACCGCATTATGTCCTCCACCAAGAGTCTGACCATATATATATAGGAGATCTTTAAAGCACTCTCAAGGGAACAAGGTAAGTTGAACAGGACATGGTAAGGGATTGAAATTCATTGAACAGTTTCTTTTGTGATTAAATACAGCAAGGGAAAAGAAAATATTGTGGACTGATGCACTTTCTAGGAGGTATGCTTAAATTACTACTCTTAAATGCTAAGTATTGTTAGGATTTGAGCATATAAAACCTTGTAAGTTGAATGAATGATGACTTCGGATCCTTAATTTGGAGTGGCATGTTGAACAATGGGCCTTTACAAGTTCTTTAGGCAGGGGGGTTTTTATTTAAGGGAAAAATAAATTTTATATACTCATCAAATGTTCTTATGCGTGAACTGCTTGTGCTAGAGTCGCATTGTGGGGGACTTTAATGAGGGCATTTGTAAGTTCTTTAAGCATATGATATACTTGCTAGACATTTTCTTTTTGGCCACATATGCGTAGAGATGTAGAGAAACTGTGTGGTTTGTGGTTCATAGCATGTAAGCAAGCTAAGTCTAAGTCTATGCCTCATGGCCGTTTATAATATGCTTACATGTACTTACTTTGCCTTGGAAACGCATGTTTTCTATGGATTTTGTGCTTAGATTGCCCAGAACAAAGCGTTGGTAGGGAAGTTATTTTTTGGTTTATTGTGGACAGGTTTAGTAAAGATGGCACATTCATATGTAGGCCATGAAAGAGTGATGATGTGTCCATATGTTGCAGAGCTATTTTTCCCAGGGGGTGTGAGATCATGGGGTGCCGCACACCATAGTCCTTTAAGAATTCGTGAATGCCAGTTTCCTTTTCTCATTTTTGGCGTGTTTCTATGGAGTAAACTTGGTACAAATTTTGTATGTAACTCTGACTACTTGTCAATCCCCCGACGGATGGCCAGACTGAGGTTAGTCAAACAGAACTCTAGGTACTTTTGCTTAAGAGCGGATGGTTGGTAAGAAATCTAAAAACCTGGGAGGAATTGATTTGCCTTTCATTGATTCGC